GTCTCTCCCTTCCCAGTCGCCTGAACATTGTCCCAGCCTCCAGATTGGTCATCCTTCCCCCAGATTCCAACCACCAGCCTGTCCTCACAACAGTCCCTGATGAATTGCCCCACTCAAAAATCTTCCACCTACATCAAATCCAAGTTCAAGGTAAACAATTCCAGCAGAAGCACAGAGAGGTCAAGTGACTTGCTTAAAGCCACACAGGGAGGACTCAGCAGGCTCCATAGAGGCTGAGAGAGGACCAGCCCCATAATGATCTCATCTCAGCTGGAGTATGCCCTCCCCTGATCTTTGGGCATTCCTGGGACTCATTCTTGACTCCTCCCTCTGCTGCCACACCCCTTCTTTAGCCAATATCCAATCCCATTGGGTCTACTGTCAACACTGCTTCTAGGGACACCTGTCCCTTTCCATACCCCCTGCCGCCAACCTGGGTCTGGCCCTCTTCTCCTCTCCCGAGAACACTATCTACTTCACGACTGACCCCATCACACTCTGGCCCTTCAGGCAGCCAGTATCATCCAGGAAGATAGTCACAGAACCACGGAGCCTCTCTGCCTACAGCCCTCCCAGTGGCATCTCACTGCACTGGGGTCAAGTCCAGCACATTGACCTGAGCTGCAAGGTCCTGTGCCTGCCTGCCCCCACCCACTTCTCCTATGTCCTCACTGGATCTGCATCAGCCAGTTCCACTCCTGGAATTGCCATGCTGCTTGCTGCTTTGGGGCTACCACCCCCTCTGTTCCCATTGTCTGCAGTGCTTTTCCCCCGTAGTCCTTACCCTGTGTAAATGCCACCTCCTCGAAAGTCTCCTCGCCGGCCACCTCCCCTCACCTCAGGTACCATCCTCTTCCTAGTCTTGAAAGCACTTTTCCCCTACTTGGAATTACATATTTACTTAACTTTTCAAAAGTGTTTCCCACCCACCAAAGGCTATGTAAGCCCAATGGGGAGAGAAGGTCCACCGTTGTTTTTCAGCTTGATTGAGGTGTAATTGATGGCTCTGCACCTCTGTCTGAGCTCAGCAGTGTCAGGGCGCATCCTAGCCTGTACTGGATACTTACCAACTCGGGCATGGAACATCAGGGTCTATGTTTTAGCATCCCAGCCTTGCCCTGGGACCGTGAACCCCTTGAGGGCAGGCTTCAGATTTAGCTCACCTCTGGGTCCCCAACCCCAGCCCAGTGCTAAGGGGCATGCCAAAAGGTATCCCGTGCATTGTTGAGCATCATGTACAGGCTCGAAGGGCTATGGAGAGTTGGGCTGTGGGCTGTGGGGAGATCCTGGTGCTCCTGGGTGAGCAGGGAGTGACTTCTAGTTGCCTATAGAGGATGGGGAGCATTGGCAAGCACTAGGGGCCCATGGCAGAGTAGAGAAAGAGCAAGCTATGAGGAGGACAGGTCTGGCTTTGAATCCTGACTCCACCACTCACATGCTGTGTGATATGGGGTAAGTGACTTCACCTCTCTGAGCTCCAAATCATCAGTAAAATAGGGATGGTAACACATCGTACCTCCTCAAATTGTGATGATTAGAAAAAAAAAATGTATTGGTTCAACTGGCATAGAACAGACAGTGCTGCAGCTGCTGTAGGATGATGATGATGATGATGATGATGATGATGATGATGATGATGATGATGATGGAATAGTTTAAGTCCGTGGATGCTTCTAAGCAGAACATGGGGTGCTACAGCTTGACCTTGACCTAGAGCTGCAGGAGTAGCATTTCTGAGGGTGAAGCAGGTATGAAAACAGGAAGCAGAGGCTGGAGCCCGGCAGCCAGGAGGGTGGGGAGGAGATGGGCATGCATCCCAGGAATGGCAGCTGGCTGTCTGGGTTTGATTTGAAAGTAGCTGAGGCCCATCAGGGACCACATGGCCCTGCAGCAGGACCAACTGGACACCCTTTGTCTGTGTGTCTGTCTGCCACCCCTGATCCTGCTTTCTTACCCAGCTTTCCCTGACCTCCCCCTCTTCCCCAGAGGCTACCCTGGTCTGGGCTGTGTGGAGGCCATTTGCAGAAGGAAGGCTGTGCAGGGAGTCTGGTTTCCATGAGTCTTAGGCCTGGAGTTCATCTCTAGGCCCAGCCGTTGACTCAGTGTGGCCTGCAACCCATCTCCCTCCTGCCAAGCTGGGGTCCCAAGGGGGCCTCTCTGAGCCCCTCTACCCTACTACCCTACAGTCAATGCAGCACTTTTGGGGAAAGACCCTTTGGGTTCCCAAGCAGTGTGGGGACATGGTGGGGGGCAGAGTGGAGAGGCTGCCTGAGACAGTGGGAGTCCAGAAAGAAGCCGGTGAACCAAGCCACTAGGAGTGTCCCCGGGGGCAGCTGAGAGGAAGAGGCCACAGCCGGAGGGGTGGGGGGGCCCAGGGGCGAAGAATCCCTCTCTGCTGTCCCCGGTGGGCTGGCTGCTCCCCCCACCACCACTCCCCCGCCAGGCCCCCGGGGGACCTCGCTCTAATAATGTATTTGATCGACTCGCCGGCCGCGTACAAGCGATTATTGTCTTGTCGGGAGTCAAACGTATCGATCCGGTGAGAAATATGAGCGGAGCAATGGGGCCCGCGTGTCAGTTACCAGCCCCGCTGGCCCTGGGGAGCCCCCTACGTCTCCTTTAATTACCGCTCAGCCCTGAGCCCAGCCTGGCCTCCCCTGCTGCCTCCCTCCTGGGCTCCCCGCACCCTGGATGGCCCCCGCTGCTCCCCAGCTACCTGCCCCATCTGCCTCGCTCAACATGGCTTGAGGCGGCTTCTCCAGCTGAGAGGCCACCATCTTCACCCCACCTGGGCCTCCCCAGATCCTGACTGCCAGCCCTACCCACCTGATGTGCCTCAAACTCTGCCTCTCCTCTCTCCGGCAGGCAGGCAGGAGGCTCAGGCCTATTCTTCCAGATTCCCTGACTCCAGCTCAGGGAAGCAGTTCTGGTTTGCCCGAGGCAATAAGGGGGACCTAGAAGGGACATGAGGGGATGAGCAATTTCATCCCATGGTGGAAACAGAAGGCTTTCCCCAGCTTCCTCCCTACACTGGACGCTCAGCATGGGTGGTCTTTCTCCCATGCTCAGCAAGGGGCCAGCACACGGGGCTCATGTCCAAAAGCAGGACATGTCCCGACATAGATGGTGTTGACTATGTCACTGGTGGAACTAGGGGGTGGCTTGGTGGGGTTTTGGCCCCCATAATGTCCTATGACCCTCATTTCCAAGTCCCTGAAACATAAATGCTAAACCAAAATAGAGCTGACTGGGCAAATGCAGTTTCAAGACAAGGGTACAAAATAATACAGTACCCACCGCCACCAGGATGCTGTCCAGAGTACCTGCAGGCTGGGCAGAGGGTGGGGGACTGGGCATGGACCAGCCCCAAAGGCCTGAGTTGGCCCCCAGTTGATGCAGCGTCTGTGTGGTCTCAGGAAAAACGGCCTTCAGATGGCATGTGGTGGAGTGCGGCTGGCTGGGAACTGTCCCCTCTGTGCAGATGTGAGGCCGCTGGTCACTGGGGTGGAGCAGGCCTGGGGCCGGGTTTGCTGGGCTCCTTGCAGACTGCGGATGGGCGGGGAGGGCGCTCCTGTAGGTGTGCCTGGGTGTGAGAGTGGGCACACACGTGTAGGTGTGCCCTTGTGCCCGTAGGTCCCCGTGAGGGTGCCGACGTGTCCGTGCAGGAGAGACCACGCGGGTAGGAGGGTTGGTATTGGGGGCCGTGCACGGAGAGGGGGTTCCCGGTGTCTGCCTGCGCGCACGTGTGAAGCTCTGGGGCCCACGTGTGGAAATACTCTAGTAGATATTTGTGTGTGTGAGAGAGAGAGAGAGAGAGAGAGAGAGAGAGAGGAAGAGAGAGAGAGAGAGTGTCCAGGCGTCTGTGGGGTGGACGCGCGTGCGCTTTGGGGTCCCCCAGCTTGGGGCGCAGGGAGTCCGGTGGGGCCCAGGGGGCAGGGGGACTGTTTGGAGGCGCTGGGGCTCGCTGGGAGGAGGGACAGGGCAGGGGCTGGGCCGCGCCTTTGTCTGCGCCGCTGTACGCGGGGAGTCCTGCGCCTTTGTGTGACCCTCGCAGGTGTGCGCGCGGGGGTGGGGGGGCGGGGAGGGAGCGGAGCGGAGGGAGGGGCGCCCTCCTCCGCGGCCGGCCCCGCCCTCCGGCCCATTGGCTGGGAGCTGCCGCCCTCTGGCGGGCGCCGAGGGAAGCGCTGGGCGGTAGCGCCGCAGCGCGAAGGGGCCAACCGGCAGCCGGGGGACCCGATGCTCCCCTCTATCGGAGCCGCCCCGGGCTCTTTCATTTGCGCACAAGCAAACTTCTCGCTGCTCCTGGCCAGGCCCCGACCCGTCACCCGCACTGCCACTGCCCGCGGGCACCGCTTCCTCTCAGTGGTGGCCCCGGACGACTCACCTGCGCACAGGTGCGCGGCTGGCTTCTCCTCCCTTATCCGCCCCGTCCCCTTGGGACACGCATAGCCGAGGCCGCCTCCTGCAGGACTTCTGGGCTTTGGGCCCTTGGAGAGAGCACCTCGCCTCTCTGGTCCATCGTCTTTTAGTCTTCAAAACCCGGCAAATAGTGATCCCCTCCAGAGACGACACCTGTCAAGTGGGAAGTGCAAAGCCTCGCCTTGGGAAAGAGCCCCCAAAACGTCCCGCCAGTGTGCTATTGTTGTAATGGGCTCACCTTCTTTCCCAGACTCACTTGCCCTGCTCGAGGTGTCTGCCTGCTGAAGGTGGCAGGCCCCCTGGGCAGTCGCTCCAGACGGCCCCTGGAGGCACAGGGTAGGAGTCAGTTCTTCCAGTCTGCCTGCTCTCTGCCCCACTGCTGCCCTTCCCCAGCACACACACACACACATGATTTGGGGTCCACTGCCTGCTGGGGAGGGCCTTCGGGCCAGGGTATTTTCCTTTTCAAAGGGGGCGGACCCTGTGGTTTCCTCCCTGAGTGACTTCCGGCAGAAAGGGCTTGGCCCCCAGAGAGGGCGGGGAGATGACACAGTTGTTCCCCCAGCCCCGCGGGGCGGGCAGCATGGTTCACTCCAGCATGGGGGCTCCAGGTAAGGAGCTGGGGCTGGCGCCACACTGGGGAGGACAGGCAGCACCTCCTGGTTGTCCTCTGTGTGCTCGCTGGCCAGCCCAGCCCTTCTTCCTTAGCTGCTCCTTTGCCCTTCCACTCTGTCCTTCCAAAGCTTCCCTCTTCCCAGCCCGGGCCTCACCCCAGCTCTTCTTTACCACCCCCTTCCACATCAGCAGGGGGGAGGGGGGAGGTGGTGGTGGGGGGCTTCTCATCTCTTCTCACCATCTCTGCTGCCCAGTTCTGAGGGCCCTTACCTGGAGGCCAGTGGATGGAACACAGGAGCCTGGGAGTGACTTGGGTGGAGACTATACAGGGGCTGGAGGGCTGATTTACTGTGCGTGTGTGAAAGAGCGGTAGTTCTGCATCTTCCCAGTGTGACTGTCATGTGTGTGAGGGCCTGTGTGGGGCATGGTCTTGGGACTGATCTCTTGGTTCACTTCTTCACTTCATTCGCCTCAGATGTCACCTCCTCAGGGAGGCCTTCCCTGATTTCCTCATTTGGAGATCAAATGAGGGCCAGGGTATTTTCCTTTCTGAAGGGGGCGGACCCTGCCTTTCCTGGTGCCCTCACCCTACTTTGCCTTTTCTTCATGGCACTTACCACTGGCTGAAAACTGATTGCATATGTGTGTGCTTATCAAACACCTTCACTAAATGTCAGTTACTGAGTGAACATTTGTGTGCCCGGCCCCGTACGACACGGTTTGTGCATGTGGAGTCCCTAGTATATGGGTCTTTCTCCGCATAACGATAATTATCTCTCGAGGTGCTAATGAGAGAATTATTGGGATGATGTGTGTGAATGCCTGAGTGGGGACATGGCACGCTCCAGTGCTCTGGGGTGGTTTCACTGGTGGTGTGGCATGGACCTGGTTCTGGCTCCAAGGTGTGCGGGCGAGTCTTGCTTGGGGGTGTGCCAGGCGCCCTCCTGCCTTCAACATGGAGCATTGTGCTGGGTGTTGGAAATATAATCGAGAAAGGGGACTTCAAGTCTGTCCTCCCGTGGAAGGTCCCCATTTCAGTGGGGCAAACAGACCTCTCGCCAGACAACAGAAGAGGCACAAGCAGAGGGGCCAGGGCCAGGGTGAGGGAGACACATGGGACTGTGGGAACCCAGATGTGCCCACTTCAGCTTCCTGGATGAGATGCACATCTGGGCTGCGATGTGAAGGGTGAGCATGAGAGCAAAGCGGAGGATGTGAGGAGGGGGTGATAGGAGGAAGACACTTTGCAGGATGGCGCATATTTATTCATCAAGGTGACCATGTGTGCAGCTATGTGTGAGCATGTATGTCCAGTGTGGACACTGCACACGCGTACTGCCTGCTCTACCCGACTCGTCGGGGGTTCCTGTCTGGGCTGAATGGGACCTCATATGTGCCAGGTGCTGGGTGAGACCCTCAACTTGGAAGTTCTCACCAACAGCCCTGGCCTGGGAGGCCTGTCTGCCTCGCCTGGGTTCCCTGCCTGGACATGGACTAATGCATCTCGTGACCTGGGGCAGACCGCTTGTCCTGCCCGATCACACCTGTGAGCAGGGTTCAGGGGTCCTCCCTGGCTGTCTCCCAGGAGGAGGTGACTCCGAGCATGCACACACAGAGTGCATCTCTGCGTGTGAGCACTGTGACTCTGTCTCTGAGCGACCTGAGTGTGAGTGTGTTGTTGGGTGTCAGTCTGAGTGACTTGTGACTCTGTGCACCCCAGGGCCTGTCTGTGGGTGACTCCAGTGTGAGTGTGTACACACTTGTTTCCATCTGTCTGTAAGTGACTGTGGGAAGTGAGTGTGCATGTCTGGGTGTCACTTGGTGTGAGTGTGTAAGTGTGTGTATCGGGTGTGTGTTTTGCTTATCTGCTCGTGCCTGAGCATGAGTCTGCATCTGTAAACGCTCCCACCTGGGGCCAGTGCACACTGGCCCTGTGTGTGTCTGCGTGGTCTCCGCTGGTGCCGGGGCGTCTGGCTGTGGCTGTGGCTGTGGCTGTGGCGTGGCAGCGTTTGCCTGTTGTCAGCACAGCTGTGGAGCCACCTCTCTTGTTGTGTCTGCTGCCCGGATCTCCACCACCCCCAATCCTGACAGCTCAGAAGTGCTGGTTCCCTTGAGGCTGCCCTGGGGACAGCTGTGGGGTTGGGGTGCATGAGGTGCTGCTCCGGAGAGGCTGGGGACTGGGCCAGCTGGGCCCACAGAGGTTCCTGGCAGCGCAGGCCCAGCCCACAGGGGCTCCCAGGCCATAGCATTGATTGAAGCAGGCTGTGGAGGCAGGGGACCCAGGGGACAGGACAAGCGGGGCCAGGAGGGGTGAGGGGCCGTCCTCAGGCCCTCTATATTTAGTCCCATTTTCGGTAAGTGCTAACGAGAAGCTGGCCCAAGTCTGCTAAAACCGGCTGGGGGAAATGCAGAGGAGAAGTGAAAGTCCAGGCAGGGAGGGCTGAGGGAGGGGTGGGGAGGGCAGCGGGACCCAGAGTCCCAAAGTTAGGGCAGTCGGGCAAGGGAGTGGGGGCCCAGGGGCCTGGACAACCCTGGGGCGGGGTGACTGTGGGCTTTTCCCTGCCCACTCCTCTAAAATGTTATACTTTCCAGGATGAGAGAAGGGAGGATGAGGCACGTTTGAGAGACACTGACCACCTGGGGAGTCAGGGAGCACCTCATGGCGGAGGTGCTGATCAGCGGTGTGCACTGGCCCGAAAGAGGAGCAGGACTTGCTGATAGAGATGGCAGAGGCCACCCCAGGCAGGACAAGGGCAGCGGCAAAGGCCTGGAGGAGGAGGTCAGGGCCTTGGGGCTAAACTGGTCCATTCGACCCACATTCCTGTGCTGGGCAATGTGGGGACCCCACGATGAGTCAGATCTGCCCAGTCAGACTAGGAGGGGGTTCTTAGTCTGAAGGGGGAGACAAGCTGGGGCCCAGGCAGTGACGAGGGGGTCAGGGTGAGGGATCAGAGAGAGGCCTCAGGGTGGAGCCTTCATAGAGGACAGGGCCTGTACTGGGTCCTGGAGGAGGAGGAATTGGTTTGGCAGACAGAGCGGGGACCAGCATTCCAGGCAGAGGGACCAGCCCATGCCGAGGCCTCTGGAAACTTTGGTTAAATGGCCGGGAGGCGCCAGGACTAGTACAAGTCAAGTGAGAGCTGCAGGAGGGATGTTGGTCAAACATCTATAACCCGTTCTTCTGGGCTGGGTGATGCTGGGGCCCCTGGAATGAGGCAGATGCTCCCTGGTCTGGTGGGGAACGGTCTTCGGGTGGTCCTGGCACAGCAGGCCCAGGGCTGGGGCAGTGAGAGGCACGGGGCTGCGTCAGTCTGCTGGGGCTTTCATAACAAAGTGCCACACACTGTGTGGCTTAAACTATAGAAATTCATTTTCTCCAAATTCTGGAAGCTAGAAATCTAGGGTCAAGGAGTCAGCAGGGGTGGTTCTTCTGAGGCCTCTCCCCTTGGCTTGTCGGTGGCCATCTTTTCCCTGTGTCTTCATGGGGGTCCTAATCTCTTATAGATTTCAGTCCCTCTAGATTTCAAGCCCAGGCCCACCCTCATGACCTCTGAAGACCCTACCTCCCTATAAAGTCACATGCTGAGGTGTTAGGGGTTAGGACTTCTACCAAGGAATATTATTGGGGGAGCCTAACTTAGCCCATCAAAAAGTCAAAGATGAGTCCAGCATGGATTCTCTTGCTGGAGGTGAGGTCACAGGTTGTCCTGGGGTGTGGGTGGGAGAGGCATTTGCTAGCTAGGTGGGGAGTATAGAACCTGATCCAATCAAGCAGAACCCCCAAACCGAGATGCCCGGTGTGCTTGAGGAGCAGAGTACACGGGTGGCAAGGGACCGGCAGTGGAGGATGACAAGGGCCACACCCCGAAAGCCAGGATGGGGTGGGGGCTGGGTTTTTCTTGGAGAAATGGGAAGCCACAGAAGGGTTGGCCAGGGTGCCCTGGGTGTGAGAGGAACCCCCCTGGGGCCCCGGAGGTGTCTGGGTGTTCAGGGATGGGAGGGGTGGTATTCAGGTTCCGTAATGGTTAGTAGTGGCCTAGAGTAGGGTCAAGGTCTGGTGAGTGAGAGCCAGGATCAGGCAGGACTCCTGCCTTTGACGCCCCAGAGTCAGGATAGGGTCATCCTCCGTCCTCCCATATCTCCCAAACTGGTTAGGCACTCACTCATCCCCACTGTCTGGAATCCGACCAGAGGCCCCCGGCCCACCCTCACCTGCCTGCACCCTAATAGGACTCCATGCCAGCTTCCTCTTATTTTTGCTTTTTTTTTTTAATTTTTAAATTTAAAATTTTTTTTTTTTTAAGAGTTAGTTATTTATTTATACAAGAACCAGGGTACAGTCAGAAGTGCGGGAGGGTGAGAGAACTCACCAGAGCCAGAGCAGGGAACAGAACAGGCAGACTGATGAAATACACTGCTGAGGGGAGCAGCGGGCGTGGCAGGAGAGTTCTGTCGTGCCATGTGGGACCCTCACCAGTGGCCGGGGATCGAACTGGCGCTGCAGAGGCAGCAGGCATCTTCGCAGCCCAGCGCTCAACTGCTGTGCCACCAGGGGAGGCCCTTCTTATTTTTGCTTTTACCTTTAATGTTTTTGTTGTTGTTTTGGTAAAAAGATTTACACACATATAGTAAAGTGTTTCAAATATTAATTGTACAGCTTGATGGATTTTTGCATCTGTAGTGACCCAGGTAACCAAAGGGAAGCATTCCCACCCTCTGCAGACTTCCTCACACCCTTGCCCTGTCAGTTCTCCCCGAGGTACCTACTAACCTGATCAGTGGATGCCCTGACACTCTGTGAACTCTGTGAATTCTGTGTGACTGGAGTCGTGGTGTGTGGGCCTTTGTCTGGGGTGCAGGGATGTCTACATATGGGGGGATTGTTTGTTTTCCTTGCTGTGGAGTACTTCAGTGTATGAACTTGCTACTTTGTGTGTGTGTGTAGAACTGGAGTGTAGACCAGAGGTGCAGGGAGTGAGAGGACTCACCAGAGACAGAGTGGGGAGCAGAACAGGCAGATCTACTGAAACACAATCATGAGGGGAGCAGCAGGCGAGACAGGAGAGGTCTGCTGCACCATGTGGGTCAGCTCCCTGGCTGGGGATTGAGCTCAGGCTGCAGTAGTGAGAGCGCTGAGACTTCACCCCTAGACACCAGGGAGGCCCAGAACTTGCTGCATTTTGTGGCTCCCTTCCCCATCGACCAGTTTGGGAGGCCTTTCGGAAAGGCCTCGCCTCACATGGTGGGCGATGCCCTTTCTCTCAGGCGGGCAGCGGGGGAAGGACATGCTGGGGCCTGGGGTGCGGCATGGCTCCAGCCTTGCTGACTTCTGCCTGTACAGATACACGCTGCCACCACCTTTTTCATTTCATTTTTTATTTTACTTAGTGTTTAATTGTACTTTTTAAAATTGAAGTGATGTTGGTTTCCAACACCGAGTATGACTTAGAGGTACAGGTTCACCCCACACCCACCCATAGTCCTTGACCACAGTCCCTTGGGTGCCCAGCCCCCTGTTTTCCTCCTTCCCTCCCCCTCCCCCTGCTGGCTTTTTAATCAGGAATTAAAAAGCCCAAGTGGTGTTTCAGGGTGCCTAATCCTCAATTGCAAAACCTGTAGACCTTTCTTTCGTGGTGGTGAGGACTTCCCAGAGCTCTTTTCAACGAGCCTTTAAATATCTTCAGGGCAGAGCACCCTGGAGTTGGGCAGCTCCTGTGTCCCATGGGCTTGTAGTTTAGGTGGGGATTTCACAGTGAGTTGTTGGGGAGACTTATGGCTCAGGAGTAAGGTCTGAGGCTGACGTGGGAGTCAAGGTCAGATGAAGGACATGGGCCATCTGGGTCGGGGTGGAGGTGGGGTTCAGGGCAGGTAAGAAGACTGATAACCAGTGGGGCAGAAAACCAGATTTGTGAGGGGTTTAGGACAAAGAGAGGTTGAGCTCAAGTTGGTATCAGGGTGAACTTGGGTTGGGGTGGTTGATGGAGTTGAGGGGGTGGGTGGGAGTCATGACAGGGACCCTTCAGCTGGTATCAGTCCTGAGAAGTGAGACCTGAAGTCAAGGCGCCCCTGCCATCTTGGTGTGCTTTCAGAGAGGTGACGCCCCCTCTTGGAGCCTCAGTTTCCTCCTCTGTAAAATGGGGGTGATATTAGCACCAACTGCTAGCCTGAGCTCTGAGTCCTGTTTTAAGCTCTACTTGGCACTGGTAAGCGCTCAGCTCTTCGTGGCCCGTGTCAGAGCGCCATAAGAACAGGGCACTTATGTCCCCTGGGCCAGTGTGCAGCTTGCCAAGGGCCCCCCCCTTCCCCCCCACTGCCTCCTTTTACTTCCTGGGTCCATGAAATTAGAGAATAGGACTATGTTTGGGGCATCAAGATTGGGTGTACAGCTGGCATTCAAGGCCAAAGTCCCAGGTCAGGTGGAGGATCAGGTGCAAGGACAAGGTGAAGGGCAGAGACAGAGGGAGTCGGGAGTCAGAGAGAGTGGAATCCCAGCAGGGAGGCCAGTGGGAGTGAGGTGTGGATGGGAAAGTGGTGGGCCGGGAGGGGGCCCGAGGGTGGCTGAATCACGCCCAGAGATCTGAAGACTTGCTCCTTTGGGGATGCTGCCGTCCCTTCACACCCCAACCCCACTCACAGTGGAAAACACGCCTCACCCGAAACCTGGTGAGGCGGGACGGGCGTTTGGGCGGCCGCTGGTGGGGAAGCTGAGCTGACAGATTCCCTTGGAACATCTCCAACCTCCTCCTGGGCCACGACCACCACTGTCTACGCCCACAGCAGTGAGCCTGGGGTGCAAGTGGGGACACACTTCCCATGACACCTCTGGAGGATTGAAAGGAGCAGGCAAGACCCTGCGGACCTGAGGGCTCCTCTCTTGTCCTGCCCGAGGAGGACAAAGGGCACGGAACGGAGGGCATGTCTTCAGGAAAGAGAGGCTTCCAGGGTGGCAGGTGCTGGAGGAGGACCTGGTGCCCTCCTGGCTTCCCCCCCTCAGCCCATTTCTACCCTGCTCTGTTTCCAGAAATAAGAATGTCTAAGCCCCTGGAGGCCGAGAAGCAAGGTCTGGACTCCCCGTCAGAGCACACAGGTGGGTGGAGAAGCAGAGGAGGGCAGGGACCCCTGTGGGCAGAGGCCGGTTTGGTGGGGGAACCTCGGGTGCCTGGTGACATGTCTTTTTCCTCTCCCTGCAGACACTGAAAGAAATGGACCAGACACTAACCATCAGGTCAGGAGCAGGTGCACGAGCAGAGGGCTGGGGAGGACACAAGAGGGATGGGGGACAGAAGAGAGAGGTGTCAGAAGCTGCTTTACCTCACGGGCCCCATCCCCCACCCCAACTTTCTCTTTGCAGAACCCCCAGAATAAGACCTTGCCGTTCTCCGTGTCCCCAACTGGCCCCAGCACCAAGGTAAGCACCTGTGAGAATAGCAGGGAGTGGGAGGGGTGTCTGGTGATGGGCAGCAGTTGGTTTCAGGAGAGGGTCCCCTAACTGCCTGTCAGGAACTCTAGTACTTTGAGGACAAGGCTCCTCCCACCCCTTCTCACCCTCGGGTTCCCGCCCCAGGCCTGTGACTCACCCAAGATCCTTCCCCTTCCCTGGGGGGGTGGGGGTGGCCAGGGAAATCCCCCCCAGAGCCCCAGGGTGGTGAACAACAGGAAACCAAGGGCCCGCCCCCATCCCAACTTCTCTGACCTAACAAGGGCCGTCCCAGCATACACCCAGGGGGCAGTCTGGGGGTCTGGGGAGAGGCAGACCCCTTGAGGATGATAGCAGGGATGTAGGAGGAAAGGAAGATTGGGGAGACAGGAAGCAGAGGAACAGCCCAGATCCCAAACTCGCATGGGGCCCTGCTGCTGGGCTTCCTGGGCACCCAGGGAGGCCCAATTCTCTCCCTACTAGTGAGGGCAGCAGCCACAGGGCCTGGGGCCTGAAGGCAGAAGAGAGGGAGGAAGGGAGCCGAGGGGACTTGGCCAGAGTCCTTCCCTGATCAGAGGTGGCAGAAGGAAGGGGTGGGGGGACCAGACCTGTTCTGTGACCTAGGGAACACTACTAGCCCCCTCGGGGCCTGTCAGTTTCCTCTTCTGTAACCTGGGAGGGGGCCCTCAGCCTAGAGCGCCTCTGAGGTCTCTTCCACGCCCTCATGCAGGGCGCAGGTGTCAAGTCCTGAGCATGGTGGACAAGACCCAGGGGAGAAGGGCTCCCTTCTCATCCCCTCCATCCCTCCCTCCCCAGCTGGATGGGTGCAGCCTCTCCTAGCCCCATAGCAGCCCTGCTCCCTTGGGAACTTCAGGGGGACCCAGGGAATGAAGGGCTTTTACTCCCCTTCCCCAGCCTGACCCTGGTTCTGGGAAAACCTGAGGCATGAGGGGGGTGTCCATCCACACCCCCAGCCTGTTTCCTCTCAGCCTCTGCTGCTCCCTGTTGCCTTCAGTCTTTCCCCAGCTGCCTTGATTCATGTGTTCCCATCACCGTGCAGACCAATCCACATACCCACCGTGTACAGTGATTTACTTACCTCATAATTGTGTTAATTGGCTCGATTTTGAAAACATTTTATTATGGAAAATGTGAAGCAGACACAAAAGCAGAAAGAAGAGTGTAATGAAAATAAACCCCCCAGGTACCCATCAATCAGCTTCAACAATTATCAACTCACTAACCGGCTGGCTTTTTTCAAACCAGCTTAAATAAATGTTTTTTAAATGGAAATTTCACGAATGGAAAACCAGAACCACTTGCCATGGAAATAAATACAGTGATTATTAAAATGTACCTAGAGACACCCGCCTGCTGAGGAGCCAAACCCTGAGGCTGAGCCAGTGCTGGGCGGGGGGTGAGGGGGTTGCCTGGCGCCCACAGAGCTGGGGCCAGAGAGGATGAGAGAGCCCGAAAGAGGGGCTGTGTTCTCACCATGGCATGCAATGCTTTTTTTTTTTTTTTTTTTTTTTTTTTTTTTTAATTTTCATGAAAATGTGGCGCACAGAGTTCCTCAGCCTACGGCTCTGTGGATTTTCACACACGGAACGCGAGTCGTCAGCCCTCCAATCCAGAGCTCGGCCCTTGGTGCCATGCCTGGGACACTCGGCTTGGCCCCTACTCAGTGGTTTCATGCTGCATCCTTGCACCCCTCAAACTTTCTGACCTCTGTATGCCGTGTTATTTGATCTTCCCTGGGCTCTCAGTCTGTTCTGCCGGGTCTGCACGCCAAAGGCCACACCCCTGCCAAACTGCTGTGTTGCTTTCTCTCTCTGGACCTCAGTTTGCAAAATGGTGGTGGTGGTGGTTGGGGACACTGGCTAGAGAGTGATCCCTGCCATCCCTTCCCCGGGGGCCTGAGGGTGTGATCCCTCAGGCTGTGCCTCCCCCACCCCCATGTGTCTTGTAGCCAAAAGGACCTTTCAGGAGCCAGATTTGCCTGGCTTGTTATCTAAGAGGGGAAGAAGGGCCGGCCTTTTCCTGCTGGTCTGTCCTGTGTTACAATGTGAGATGCACCCCGTCCTACCCAGAGGGGGGCGGGGACTCACATGGAGCTGAAACTGGCAACACCCAGGCCACCTGGCTCCTGCGCACACACTTTGCTTATCCTGACAGTGACTAAAGTTTAGGTTTTGAATGAGTGCCTGGTAGGAGCCATGTAGGGGCTGGGCAGGCCTCCCCCTCAGGCAGACGGGCACACCCTCTTCAGCCCACCCAGTCCCCATCTCTCTGCCTCACCCGATTTTCTGTCAGCCTGTATCCATCTCACTTTAGATCATGATCTGTGTCTCAGGCGGATGATTTTTTTTTTTTAATTCCCAAGACCCCGCCTAAAAAAGGTCCTACTCCATTGAAGAATAAGAGCTGTACCTCTAGCTGAAGAAGATGGGGGGCCAGGACCCTGTTATTTGATGATCCAGGGCCCCCACTAGCAGCATTTCCCACTTTACAGATGAGGAAACTGACTCCTAAAGACCCCCCCAGGGAGTGGAGGCCGGGGTGCTGGCCCTTCTGACTGGGGAAAGACTCAGCCCAGAGGGGTGGCCTGAGGGTCTTACTCCCTATCCCAGTCCCCTCCTGTGCCGGCCCACGGCTACCTTGCCATACACGTACCCTCTCTTTGGTTCACAGGTGGGCATTCTCTCTGGCCTCCACTTAACATTCTGGGGTCCCGGACCCTGCCTCTCTCCCCCCCAGATCAAGGCTGAAGACCCCAGTGGTGACTCAGCCCCAGCAGCACCCCCGGCCCCCCAGCCGGCTCAGCCGCATCTGCCCCAGACCCAACTCATGTTGACGGGCAGCCAGCTAGCCGGGGTAAGTACTCAGGGAAGGGCCAGGGAAGGATGAGACGTGGCGGCGGGGTGCACAGGCCAGCCACCTCCCTGCTACAGGACTGGAGGCTTGGGGTGTCCCGCTAGGCCCAGGATCTCTCTTCCTCCTGCCGCTTGCCCTCCTCCGGGCCTCCTGGAAGGTTTGCTCCTTAACCGCTTGGCCCAGGCACTAACCCCTCTCTGCCTTCTCTGCTCCCCACCTCCTCCTCCCTCTGGCCCCTGCTGTGCCCGCCCGACCCGCAGCTCACGGCGCTGATGCCAGCCCAGCAGCAGCTCCTCCTGCAGCAAGCGCAGGCCCAGCTCCTGGCCGCCGCTGTGCAGCAGTCCAGCGCCGCCGCCGCCGCTGCCGCCGCCTCCTCCACCTCCTCCTCCTCCTCTTCTTCCTCCTCCTCTGCCTCCTCCTCGACCTCGCAGCCCCAAGCCTCCTCCGGGGGAGGCGACCTGCCGCCACCACAGCCTGCCAGCCAGCCCCCCGGGACCCCACAGCTCACCCTGTCCCAGCCCATCCAGCTCACAGCACAGGTAAGGGCCGCCCTGGAGCAGGCTCCCTCCGCAGAGGATGCAGAGACCGGGCAGGGGCTGCTGGCCCAGGGCCCTTCTGACCACCACCCAGTTTCCTGCGGCTTAGGGAGCCTCAGGAGAAGCTGCACCCGTCTTTCGGCAGGAGGACAGACTCTCGGGATGGAATGCCTGGTGGTCCTCTCACTGGGGACTCCCGGGACAGGGGACTAGCACCCTGACCTCCTGGCAGGACGCCAGGAGCCCCCATGTGGGGTGCCCGTGTGGGTACAAATGAAAGGCAGAGAGCCCGAGGCAGAGCCCGTGCCGTGTCCCCAAGCTCATCACGGGAGACGCTCCTTCAGAAAAGGGGTCCGTGGCCTGCGAGTGAGGAAGCCGCAGCCTCGCTCCCACTGTGGAAATTTGGGGTGTGCCCAGCATCAGGAATTGCTGGCTGCATCCACTTCCTAGAGCTGCCACAGCAAAGCACCACAATCCAGGTGGCTTAAAACCACCGACTTTTATGGTCTCATACCACAAGTCCAAAATCGAGGTGTCACAGGGCCACACACTCGTGGAAGGCACCAGTGTGGAGTCCCTCTTTGTCTGGCGGTGCCAGGAGCGTGTGGCGCCTGGCTGGTGAATGGGTCCCTCCGATCTCTGCCTCTGTGCTCACGTGGCCAATGCCTCCCTGTGCATGTCTGTCTTTGTGTCCAAATCCTTCTTGTATGGGCCCCAGTGCTTGGATTAAGGTCCACCCTAATGACCTCATTTAACTTGATTACAAATGCAAGGGGGTCAAGAGCCCTCTTTCCAAGTAAGGTCATAGTCACAGGCTCCAGGGGCTAGTGCTTCCAACACATCTTGAACCCAAAGGGATTCCCCATCAGGATAGTGGTTTGGAGCAGAGGAGAAGGGGCTGGCTTATCCTGCAGACAGCCCTGCTTGCTCCCACCCACCCGGCCCTTGCCTGCCCACATGACCCACCTGGTCTGCCTGGTTTCCCTAAGTGTTCGAGTCTGTGGTCCGTGTCCCGGATCTGCGCAGGCCCAAAGAAGCCCACAGCAGGGACCCTCTTCCTTTCCCTTAGCTCTTGTTTTCCTCAGACAGCTTTTCTCTATTTCTTACCCACTTCCATGCAATCCTGGCCGGCAGGCTCCACAGGGAGCTGTCCAGCGCCTGCGAGCCTATTTCCTCCGTGCCAGTCCTGACTAGCACCCCATTTAGGACTGGCCTTAATGCCAAGCTGGTATCTGCCTCCTTTGAGCTGAGTCCTGGATCTTGTTCTGCAGAAACACACAGTGTGATCTGCGTCCGCTGCTCCGTGATGGCCCTCCCAAATGGGGCCTCCCCAGACCTGTCTCCCCGGTAGCCATTACTAGAGTCTGTCAGGGTTCCCTTTGCACCAGACACAGTGCTAATGGTGACCTCCTTGAACCCACAAATCCTCACCATGGCCAAGGCTCTGAGGGGCAAAGCCCAAGAGGCAGAACTGGCTTGGAAGCCAGTGCTCTAACCACATGCTCCTGGCTGCTACCTTTAGGAAGCGCCCTTCAAGGGATCCCACCCCAGCCACCAGAGGCCCTTGCAGCAGGCGTCCCTATTGTAGTCCACCAAGTTCTTCACAGGACTGAGCTGCCCCTTCTCTCGTTCTTTCTACCTGGACACCTGCCCCTCCCTTTAACTGGACAGCTCTTCTTCATCCTTTACATCCCAGCTAGGCGTCCACACCTCAAGGAAGTCTGCATTGACTTCCTTCCCTCCAGCTGCTTTGATTTCCTGCCTCTGTGTCTTCTGGGAGCCCCTGCCCAGCCCTCTCCCTCTGCCACCAAATATGCTGGAGGAAATAGCTGCTGAAGGAACAAAGACTACAGGGAGAGAGGACAGGACCGGGCAATGTAGGGCAGACCAGCCCGGCCACCATACACCCCTAGGCCCATCTCCTCCAGCCTCCCAGGACCCCGCAGCACCAGGCTGCCTGATCTTCCATCCAGACCCAATTCTCAAGGTTTCCTTGAACCCCTTCCTGCCAAACCCTTTCCTGTTCCTCCCACCCAGCTTCCCCCAGCTCTGACCGGTCCCTGTCCTCAGCAAGTGCAAAGCCAGGGCAAGTTCTGCCTCTCCTTGACTTTACTTTCTTCGCAAATGCTTATCCTGTATCTCCCAGGTGTTGGCATCATGCAGGGCCCAGGCTGCGGTGGGGCTACGTTTCTCCTGGCCCAGCCACCCATAGCCTTCACCGCTTCCCCCCCAGACTCCCCCTTCCTCATGGCCCATACCCTCCAACTCCTTCCCACGCTGCAGTCACCTTGGGGCATTCCCTGGCCTCCTGTGTGTCAGTCTGGAGGGAAACCCAAGACTTGGGAGTGACTCAGATCCACCCCTTTGTCCCCAAGGGGCATGCAGTCATGCAGGGGGACAGACACGCCATGCACCAATTTGAATGTTTGGCTAGGGAAATACTAAGAAGCCCAAAAGAAAGACAGGGCATCCACAAACCTATTACTTTAAAAGTCTATAAAGCATGAGAACCTCTTTCTGTTCCTCTCACGCCAGCTTCCTGAGTCAGGTCGGTTCAGCAGTTGGGTAGTAACATTCCCAGCATTGTTTAGTTTGTACAGGTAAAAAGCCATGATGATAATACTGGTTTATGACGTGTGTGTCCGGAACTCAGTAGGAGATGCCTCCACTGAGGGGGCCGCGTGCATGTTCACTGCATCTGTGTGGGGGTCGGGGGGTTTGCTGCAGCTTTTGAATCAAGGGAAGGGAAGACATCTCTCTGGGTAGGGATTCAGGGTGTCTGGGGGAGGGGCAGGCAGTGATTGAAAATTTGCACAAACTGTTAAAACATCATTTTGTACTTGGAGAGGAGAGAAAAATCTCTATTTCTGTAATATGATCACAGCGAGTAAAACAGGACAGAATTGTTTTGGCTGGTGGGACCTAGTGAGTAAAGGTTGCCCAGAGAAATCTAATGGATGTGGCGGGAATGTGAAGAGGCATGAAGGAGTCAGGGGAGGCTGCTCAGAGGAGGTGGTATCTGAAGTGAGAGAGCAGGGCAGGCTTTGGGGGACCCTGCAGAGGCAGACATGGAAGGATCAGCTGCGAGGGTTGTCAGCCACCCCAGAGACCTGGGTCCCGGACTCCAGGGGTTACTCCTGTGGATGAAGTGGCCAAACAAGAAAAGGGACCGTCTGGCTCAGGTCACTAAAAAGGCCCAGTATGCAGTGTTGGGCCCCAAGGACCTGCCTCCCTTTTCATTTGCCAGGGCGAAATGGGTGCTGGCACTGCTAGACCTGCAGCCACCCTGGGAGATAAAACACACCCCCTGGTGTAAGTTGGTGCCCTCGGCCCCTGAGAAGGTGGGTCAACCCCACCTGGAACATATGACATGAGAGGGGGAGGGCCCACTCCCAAGGGTAAGAGATGGGTCCTAGGGTTTACTTTTAGTTTTCAAAAAGATTCAGTCTCGTCAATTTGTAGTATCGTTAATGATCATTATTTTTTTTTAAGATTTATTTATTTACGCATACAAGAGCTGGGGTACAGGCCAGAGGTGTGGGTGAGTGAGAGGATTCACCAGAGATAGAGTGGGGAACAGAACAGGCAGATTGCCTGAAGTACACTGCTGAGGGGAGCAGGGGGCAAGACAGGAGAGGTCTGCTATGCCATGTGGGTTGCTCCCTGGATGGCCGGGGGAATCGAACTCGTGCTGCAGTGGCTGCGGATTGCTTCATAGGTTGCGTCTTAACCCTTGTGCCACCAGGGAGGCACTGATCATTATTTTTTAAAAAGATGTATTTATTGGGGCCTCCCCAGTGGCCAGCGGGTTGATCACTGCACTGTTAAGCTGTCTGCAGCCTCTGCAGCGCGGGTTCGATTCCCAGCCGGCCAGGGAGATTCCCACATGGCGAAACAGACCTCTCCTGTCCCTCTCGCTGCTCCCCTCAGCAGTGCTTTCGGTCCATCTGCCTGTTCTGTTCCCTGCTCTGTCTCTCGTGAATTCTCTCACCCTCTGGCGCCTCTGACTGTACCCCAGCTATTGTATAAATAAAAAAATAAAGCTTAAAAAAAAAGATTTATTTATTTATGCATAAAAGAGCTGGAGTGTAAGCCAGAGGTAAGGCAGTGTGGGGTGCGGTGAGAGGATCCACCAGAGACACGTGGGGAGCAGAACAGGCGTATCTACTGAAATACACTGCTGAGGGGAGCAGCAAGGAAATAGGAGAGGTCTGCTGTGCCATGTGGGTCACCTTCCTGACCAGGGACCAAACTTGTGCCACAGTGGCTGCAGATAACTGCATAGTGCTGAGACTTAACCCCTTATGCCACCAGGGAGACCCCTGATCATTAAGTTTAAATCCCTAATTTTCTTACGTTAACTTATTTTTTATATGTATGATAATTTTATTTATTTGAAAGAGTTATTTCTCTGTTTATTTTTCACTGAGGTATTGGGACACCCCCTTCAGGTGTTGCCACCATAGTGCACCTACCACCGAATCGCCCATAGGCTACCACCACATAGTCCACTGTTTCCTCCTTCCTGTGCCCTCCCCCTCCCCTGAGCCCTTCCCCTCAAATGGTCAGTTCTGTAGTTTTCAAGGGTCTGTTGTTAAGCCTGTTTTTTTCTATTATTATTATTATTATTTTACATCATTGTTCATTTTTTTCTCTTTTTTAAAGGTTAACAAAAGGTTTATTTACCAGGGAAGGGGAATGAGGAAATGTACAACTCAGGGAGAAAAGAGGGAGATAAATTCTTAAATGTGTCCTACCCGTTCCGCCGACCTGGAATTCCAAATGACCTGCCAAGACCAAACCTGCCTGGCCAAGAGCACGAGCCAAGTGTTCCCGACCCCACTAACATGGCTAGTTTTTATTTACAAACAGAGAAAATGGCTGCTTAGGTCCTCACAACTTCCCTTTGGGGATCATGGGATTTGTAGTTCCCGGTGTCTTGATGGAGTGGGGGTGGCAGCCACAAAACCTATATGGAATTAGCTCAGAACATTCCATCCCCC